CGATATTATGAAGTTAGAATCGAGCATACGCGAGTTGCACGATATGTTCATGGATATGGCTATGCTTGTCGAGTCTCAGGTTCGTTGATTTAGATGGGGTATATTGAATTGGAAGAATTTGACAGCTATGTCTGTTTTGATAATTGACCTAAATATGCATCAGAATCACCGGGTGGAGATTGCACGTAGAAGTGTTGCTAGCTGGCACCCAAATTTCACAGCATTGTCAACGAATCGGAAGGCATACCTCTTCAGTACCACCGTACTGAAAGCAGTGGTATGCGAATGCAAACTGTGGTCACTGACAACAGAAGGAAAGCGCACGCTTGCAGTAACAGGAGAAAAAGAGCTATGAATCGGAAGATACTGAATATGCCTCTTCGTAATGCATTTTGCATTTCAGGGCGAAATGGTGGATCGGATAGAGTACAACGTGGAACATGCGAAGGAATTTGTGGATCGTGCTGTGGCTGATACCAAGAAAGCGGTGCAGTATCAGAGCAAAGCACGAAGGGTTAGTCCTCTTTTTTTGTTTGATTTCGGGCAAATTCTTCGCATATTTATTCTTCTTAAATTACGATATATGCATGATGTTTGTGTGTGTGCGCACGTTTTTTGCCTCGAAATTTCACTCAAACAAACATTTGATGTGAGCGGAGATAATTCTAGCTTATTTTTTTTTCTGTTATTTTTTCAGCCTATTTGCTATTGGTATATCGTATCGTGATTTTTTTTTTCTTTTTTTTTGCATGTACCCTGTCAAGTCGTCGTTGTTTTTATTTGTTGAATCTGTGCACTAATTTGATATCACATAATTTTTTGCATTCTACATGAATTCATGCGTACCGTTGATTTGGAATGGCGTCTTCAGCCAAGGACCAGAAAAAGCAACTGCACTAAATTCTGTTGTTTTATTAAAAAAATATATTCCTCGTTTGTTTCTCACTGACTTTATGCTATGCTGCACTTGTTTTAGTTTTTTGGATGCATCAGTGTTGTTATAATGGAAGAAGCCAGTGATTTTTAGTTTTGTTTGAGGTTTTTTTTAAAATAATCCCAGACATATTCCAAACCAAACTATGTGCCCTAGACATAAAATATCCTAAACAAAAAATTTAAAATAAAAAATCCCAAATAAATTATATTTGTAGCAGGAAAAGAACTTATTGAAAATGTCGAATTTCTATTCTTTGATTTTCTTTTTTTTTTGCAGAAGTTGAAGATTTAGAAGGGGGATCTACTCCTCCCTTTTTTCGTCCCCTTCCCTCCTCTCCTCCCTGCCCTCTTTCCTCCTCTTCGTCCCTTCCTCCCTCCCCTTCCTCCTTTTTTATGTGTTCTTAACGGGCCCCGTCCTCATGATCGTTTCGCTTCTGGTTGTGTAGCTAATTTTCGCAAATTTTTTGCATGACATAGTCGTGTGTTTGTATTGTGCGTAATGCTGTTCTTTCGCTAATCTCCGAGAAATAGTGCTTTCGCCCTGACACTTTCTGATATTACAATATCGCTGCTTTTCTAGCAATTCCTGTCACTACTTGAATTATCCTGGAGCATTTCCTCCCTAAACTCGAAAATATATTTTTGCGCTTTTCAAGTCTAATAGTTTTGAGATAAATTGTAAGACAGGCATTAATGTTTTCAAAAATGTTCTTGAGGGTTATCAAAAATATGCTGAAAATTAGCCTGCTTTCATCGTGTGAAAAGATATGAGCTAGAACTGAGCAAAATCATTAAGAAGGGAATATTAAACATTAACGACAAAGTGAAAAAGAAACTCAGCAGGAAAAAAAACAATAATAATGCACGATATTTTAAGACGAACGAAGGAAAGTTTAGGAAAACTCTTCATATTTTATTCCTTCGAAAATTGGTGCCATTCCTCTGTTAAATAAGTACTGTTTGGCAGAAATGTACAAAGGCGTCCCCTCATTAAAAATTTGCATGCAATGTTTTGTCCAACTTGTACAGCAAAGACGCCTTTAACAT